GAAGGAACACTGCAATAGTCCGTTCAGAGTGTCAGAGCCTGCACCAGGAAAGGGTCTCCACACAGGCAGGGGAAGACGGTGGCAACCTGGTGTGTGGTGCTGAAGACAAAGTGAGGTAAGGAGGGAGTCCAATGGGGAAGGGGAGTAGCAGCAATAGAATCTTAATCACATACAGAGGAACTGATCAAATAAGTAACTATATTCAGAAACAACATAAATATGGAAACGGAGAAAATCAGAACATAAACTGTGGTTTGGAATGGAATCCATAGCACTGCTGAGGATTCGTGGTTTTTCAATATATACAGACAAAATGATAAAGATACAGAAACAAATATGCAGGCGCTCATGCACGCACACGCGCACACACACACACACACACACACACACTCTCTCTCTCTCTCTCTCTCTCTCTCTCCATATAGTCTCTACCATGTTTACTAAGAAGGCCTGAGAGCACGGATCCCCCAACAATGAACGTGCCTTGCATTCAGATCTTAGTTTCCAAATATTACTCATCACTGAAAAATAGCAAGCAAGAAAACAAAACAAACACACAGGGCCTCTCAGACAAATGGTTGTTTTCATGGGGAAGACAGGGAAAATATATGATGAACCTGGTACATCTGCTGTCAGCAAGCAAGAATGTGCTTCAAGAATGATGGGGACATTTCGAAAGGGCCCCAAAGGCATCTTGAATGGGTGACTATTAGTCAAATTGAGTTCAATTTGAGCAATACAAGGACCAGTTATAGTAATGGATTATATATAACCCACTGACTAAAATAGGAATTGATACTGATATATACGCATATATACAAGTGAGATGATTGAAAGTCTGTTACAGGGCAGAAGGCACCTCGGGACCCCCAAACCTGCCTGCTCTAAATGGGTTCTGCCATCCACTGCATCAAGACAAAACATATTCTAGTGGGTAAGACTTAATGGAAAATAACTTTAATTCAAGTAGTGTGCAATATAGAGAAGAGAAAGAGAAAAAAATATATAGTTTCCAAATCAAGCACCCAAAGTTACCCATCCCTTCGTGGAAAAATGCCCAGCCAAACAGGGTTGGCCCAAAGCAGTACCACTGAGGCCCAAAGGCTTGCTAGAAGTCTAAGGCACCTTCTGGCGAGAACCTCTAGAAAAGGGGTAAAAGGGACCAGGCAAGTCTGGAAGGAAAGGAGCAAAGTCAAAACCCAAGTCAAGATTAAGGCTGCTACTGTCACCTCACTACGGGTCTCTCGCCCACGTCTCGGTCACTTTCAAATGTCTCTTTCTATGTCCCCCAAGTTCCTGGTACAAGTCCAAGGCCAGGGAGCAAGCGCTGCTTCTTCACTTGTCTCTCTGTTCCAAGTGCGTCCTCCAGGTCTCCTCCTTGATCCCCTTCCCTCCCCTTCACTGTCTTCTCTAATTTCTCCTCCCTGCTCAGCTCTACCCTTCCTTGGGTGGGGCAGGGAACCTGGAACCTCCCCTTTCCCTGGGGATTTACCCTGTTACATGATGAGTGATGGGATAATCTCAAAGTATCTCCCCACAAAATGCAAATTAACTAGCATGTAAAGGCAAAATGAGTATCTTTAGAGTGGAGAAACCTAGCTAATACAGAGACAGAAGTTACCAGTAATGGGCCAAATCAAAATTGTGTGCCACTTAATATAAAGCAAGAAGAGGAGCATGACATTGCTTCTGTTGCATTTCTGCCAAAGAGGCAGAGCCAGAACTTAGTCATGAGGAAATACTGGACAAACCCAAACTGAGAGACCTTCTTCAACATAACCAGCCTGTAATTTTCAAAAGTACTATGGTCATGAAAATAAAAGTTCAGGAACCAGTTCAGCGTGAAAGAGATTAAAGATAGAAATGAAGCCCGTATGAAATGTGTGTTTAGAACTTCTTGCTATAAAGGACAGGGACAAATCATGACACTTGAATAGGATGTGAAAATTAGCTGGTAGAGGTGTATCACTCATTTCCTCACTTTGAAGGTTAATGTAGCACAATACCCTTGTTTGTAAAACTACACCCTGAGGTGCTCGGGAGTGATAGGACATCAATTCAGCAACTTCTTTGAAATCATCCAAATATTTTTAACTTTTCAGAAAGTTTGGGATGTTCCCAATTTTAAAAAATTGTGAAGTAGGTCATCTCCCACCTTACCTTCCCATACCTTTCAAAGAAATTTACAAAAGAAGTTAGTGTTTATCAAGGCTTACAAGACCTATATGATCTGGGCCTTAGTTATTTCTCCTACCTCATTTCTTAACATCTTTCCCATACTCACTCCATTCCAGGCAAACTGGCTGAATTGCTATTCTTTGAACACAAGCAGTACATCTCAAATACACAGGGCTGGGGACTTGGGGTTCCCGATGTCTAAAGCTCTTTCCACCTTCCCCTGGCTTGCTGCCTTCCCTCTTCAAAAGTCACTTTCTCAAAGAAGTCTTGGCTAACCTCTATAGAAAAGTCACCGGACCCTTCTATTGCTCCTTTACAAATGCCAGTTTCATATTATCTTTTTTGCATTTATTGTTGTCTAAGATACATCAGACATTTGTTTTTCTGACTCAGCAAGAATTAGCTTTATTCATTGTTGTACAATAGTTCTTGGCACTTGGTAGGTGTGCAGTAGTTATTTGAATGAATAAAGTTGATAAATTGTATGTGTTATTCATTATATGTAAACTAATTAAAGATAAAACAACCCAATTTCAAATTTATTCATGGGTCAAATCAAAGGCAAAAATATGCAGATTCAGAATTCTACAATGAATTATACCCAGTAAGGGGGGTGGGGGAGGTATGGGAGAAACAACAACTGAGCTTGTCCAACACTACTTTCTCCACAAAGACTCATCACACACCTTTGTTTCCCTTAGAAACAAGGGCCATCAAAGATATTTAGCCCTTAGAAGGCTCCACTCCACAGAGAAATTCAGCTTTGTATCCTCACTTGCCCTCAGGCACCTACCAGAGTCATGTTATCCTCTACAGCTTTTAACTTCTTTTTCATGTGATCTTAGATCATATAAAAGGACTTGCTTAGATGACTAATACTTTTATCTTTTCAGATTTTTTTCACCATTTTATTATTTAAATGTGTTTCATTTCACATAATTTAAATCAGTTTCCTAATCAAGTGATAGAGGTGATCTACGCTCTCATCGCATGCCATCTCCCAAAATATAGATCCAAGGCATAACGCTGGATGAATGCTTTGAAGAAGACAGTCATCAATCTCAAGAAGCCAGTCCACAGCCTCCCACATCGCCCACCAAGCCCACCCAAAAAACAACCAAGCAAACAAAACTAGAAGGGCATCTCACCTTCTAAAGTCAACAGTCCACTTTAAGACAATGGTTTCAAATAGTGCTCCTGACACACAGAATGTCCTTTTGGAAAAGGGACACCTCAGTCATACCTCTTCAGAATTTAACCGCCATAGGTTACTATTCCCCATTAAAAAGAGGGCAAAATCCAGCCACAAATGTAGCATCAGTGCTGCTTTCTCATGTTAAGAGCAAAAGTAGACCAGAGGTTGAAAACTGGTTGTAGATGAAATCTTACAAACATGTTTTGTTTACCTCATGAAAAGTTTAAAAAAAAATTCTGTCCAATCAAGTGGTGTAATTAAATAAAATAAAAAGAATGCCTCCTTAGTCACATTCAAAGTGCTCTGCACCTCATATGGTTGGTAGATGCACCACCAGCAGAGATAAGGATTTCCATCATTGCAGAAAGTTCCACTGGATAGTGCTACATTTAAAGTCACAAATATTTAAAAAATTTTACACTTAAAAAACAAGAGCTTTCGCAAGGAGATACAAATTTCCACTTTCTTTCGAAAAATCCTATCTAGAGAAAGCCTTGGTTGAGTTCTCACCTAATGGAATTGGTAACAGATGAATAAGGCTGTTGCCCTCTTTGAAGCAAGATGTGTTTTTCAGTTTATTACAGGTTCCACTACTCATTTTCTCACATCTGCATTTCACTCATTTGTGTTCCATGCTTGGGTTTTTAATTGAATCCTTAGAAGGGAAGTGAATATTCAGATTATTCCAGTTTCTATTAATAGGGCCCAAAACTTGTAATGACCAAGTTCAACCAAAATAAAATGTCAGTTAACTTATTTTTAGGTTTTTGGTGAAATTTTCTACACTAGACCAACCAAAAAGGAGCTACAGAGTTAACTCTATATCAAGTACATAGTTTTAGTTCAGCAATTTATGAAATAGATATAATAAATTTATTTTGAAACATTTTATACAAAATTTGGTCATTCAAGAGCACTTAGAATTTCACTACAAAATAGGTATGTTACAAAATCATAGTTTTATACATCTAAGGAATTTTGCAGTTCTCATCTTTCAAGAGGCAGTCCCAGACAGTTTGAGTAAAACTCTCCACACCATTACATATCCAACATAAAATATGATGTTGATACATGTCTATGAAGACACAGGGTCTATGTTCTCTCCTGTTGAACTTGGGCAGTTTTCTAATTGCCTTAATCAATGGAATGTGGAACTGATGTTGGATGATTTCCAAGAATAAGTCAAATAAAGCAATATGGCTTCTGTCTGGTGCCTTCTCAGAGTACAAGTACTTGCCTCAGGAATCTCAAACTGTGTGAAAATAATCCAGCCCTAAGTCCCAGCTCCCAGCTGACAGCCAGGACTAAATACCATGCACTGACTAAACCAATCTTCAGATAATTCCAGTATCTTGCTTTTGACCCTTCTATCTGAGGCTTCAGGTATCCTGAAACAGAGATAAGCCATTTCGGCAACCTTGTCTGAACTCCTAGCCCACAAAAATGATGAGAGATACTTTTTATTGTTTTCAGGTTCTAAGTTTTAGGATAACTTATCGCATAGCTATTGAAGCTGGGACAAGAGATGTTTCCAGAACACCAATGACAGCTTTATAAATAAATATTCAATAAGTATTTGTTTAATGAAACATATTGCCAAATAAAATAAAATGTTGGCTTGGCTTACCATTCAGGGGGCACCATGCTTCCATCCACATCCCAGAATGTGTTTTTGCCATTCATTTCAGTAGTATATATAACCCATCGGTGACGGCCTGGGTAGAAAGATAAACATTTAGAAAGATGTAAGGAAATACAGAAAACCTTAAGTTAAAAAAAAAAAGCATAAATGCTAACATTAAAGAAGACGATCTTAATAAGACTTTTATATGCTCTTACATCAGAGAAATTTAATAGTTCCATCTGCATATTAGTGAAGGTGAGCTCCAGGAAGTCTGTGACAAGCTTTCATCAACAACCTGATGGCTGCCATAACAAAGTCCCTGAGCACAGACTGAGACTCACTCTTTGGGAGTTAGCGGGCTTTTCCCAGAGTGGTGAACCCTTGCTTCTCCCCTAGCTACCCCACCAAAAGAGTAACAGAGAAGGCAGGTAACGTGTTCCTGGCAATTCAAGCTATTCATTAGAGAAAGTGCGCCTCCTGTGACTCAGACAAGAAAAATGTATCCACAGCAATCATACTTGAATTATGTTTCCATATAAATATTATAAAATGACCATTAGAGATGCTTTCAGAAATGATGAATATATAAAATATAAATGAATATATGATGATTATAAGAGACAGCTCATGTCATCAAAATAGTATAGCTACACTAATTATTTAACAAATTTACATGGAAGAATTAGGGGCCTAATACAACACTGTTTCTATTTGGTCCTTAACTTGGGCAGAATAGATTAAAATAAGACTTTGTCGCTTATTATCAGTTGATTAAAGCAAATTATTTAAGTCTCTTTTTTTAAAAATCTATTTAAATAGATGTTTATACTGACATCTTTAGATTGGCATGAAAATGAAATATCATACGCATATACCTAATTCAATATTGGGTATATAAGTACCCAATAAAAATAAATTCCTTCTACCCCTCTTCACTGCCCCTGACCACCAAAAAGAGAATATTAAATTCACCCCTATAATAAATTTTAAACCAAAAAGCAAAAGGTAATCTGAATTTACAATTTTCCTACATAAACGTACAGTCAATGTTTAACAACTAATGGTATTTAAACATGACCTTACTAAAGAAAATAAAGATTCCAGTCAGGATTTGTTTCTTCTGTTAGAGAAATCAATAGTGAAAATAATCAACAGAAGGAAAACATAATCCAATGAGGCAGGGGAATGTGAAGGTAAATGAAAGAAACTATGGGAAAGGTTTCATAGGTCACAAAGTTATAAAGTGTGAGAATGTTGAATACTGTACGTGACCTAATTGTACTTGTTTATTGTGTTACCTTCCAAAATTAAATGTGCATACAAAAAGTATATATTTGCTCCCTTTGAGGGTATCAAACATTACTCTGCAACTGGAGTTTTTCACGTTACACACATCTATGACATCCATCTATATAGAATTTAAAGGTTGATGCCATTCTTAATAGCAACAAACTAACCCAAAAAAACTCCCATGTAATTCATTAGTATAAAATTGATAAACATTAATGGTGATTTTATTTGTGTATTTTTTTAACTGAGATAACATTAAATTAGAATATTATGAGTTTCAGGTGTGCATTCTTGAATATACTACTAAAACAACACTGCAATAGATGTCTGTGTTTTGCAAGATTATTTGCAGAATAAATTCTCAGTAGAAATACTAGGACAAAGGACATGTGCAGTGTAAATTTTGACAAATATTACCAATTGTCTTCTAAAAAGACTGCATTATCTTATAAAGTCCCATAGCCCTTCTCTACATCAGGATTTATTAGATTGGTAAGAACTTCAAAATTGTATAGATGAAAAAAGGCCAAGTTTTTTTGTTTTTTAAAAGATTTATTTATTTATTTATTTATACAAGCACTGGGTACAGTCAGAAGCACGCGAGGGTGAGAGAATTCATCAGAGCCAGAGGGGAAAGCAGAGCAGGCAGACCAAGGAAGTACACTGCTGAGGGGAGCAGTGGGCGGGGCAGGAGAGGTCTGTGCGCCATGTGGGACCCTCGCCTGGTGGCCGGGGACCGAACCTGCACTGCAGAGGCTGCTGGCAGCTTTGCAACCCAGTGCTCAACCACTGCGCCACCAGGGAGGCCCAAAGGCCAAGTTTTTTAACTGCAATTCTGTAATTACAAATGAGGGTAAGTGTCTTTTCATGCCTTTGTCAAGTAATTTTGTTTTCCAGGGAATTATCTTTTTCCTTTTTTCTACTGAGTTTCTCATTTTTTTACAAGTGCTCTGTAAAAGCTCCTTGTATGTTATGGAAAACAGAGTCAAATCAAATCCCAATCTCAATATTCATACCAAAAAAAAAAGGTACTCACCAAAGAATTGCTTGTTGTCTTCATAGTACTTGTTTCCATATTTATCTTCACCCACTAGTGTGCCGACCCTCACATCATTTGCCCTGTGAATGCCGAAAAGAGATTTAAAAAATGGCTTTTTGTTCAAAACACAAGTGTAAATAAAGTATGAGGACCACCTTCCAAAACAAAAGCTGAATTGACCCAAATCACGCTCAAAATATATAAGCAATGTCGTCAAATAACAAGACTCCTGTCTACTATCCCAGGCCATGAGACACTAAGTTAGCAAAAAACTTCAGGCTATCAGGGAGTCAAGGTTTTCATCTTAAGATGGTTTAAATGTCCCCTGGCTCTTGCATGCGACTCTGATTTGCTTATCCTAGTCAACGAAAGTCAGAACTAATAGGGACAATTTTATGACTTGGTTCAAAGCTTTACCGTACAGAAAAGGAAACCGAGGGCGAGTGAAGGGGAAATAAAACTTTCCCAAGGTCACACAACGCTTCGCAATCTTGACTATTCTCCAAGAAACAAGGCAAGGATGCAGCCCAGGTCCCCTGTCTCCAGGTCACGGCTGTGTCTTCAGAGCGGGTTTTGGGGCTGCCCCCGGGACACCCCCCCCCCCCGGCCGGGGCCGGGTCAGGCGCAGCCAAGGCCGGCTGCCCTTGACGAGAGCTGTGGGCTCTCAGGGTGACCCAGGCCGTCTCCTTTTCAAGAAACTAGCCGGCGCAAGGCCAGCTCCGACGCGAGAGCAAGGACGCTTACCTGAAGAAAATGCGAAGATAGCCGCTGAGACCGCCGTGGCCGGAAACCTGCTGCAGCCCGCGCTTCAGGACCTGCACTAACTCCATCTTGCCCGCAGACCCAGCCTCGCAGGTGCGCCGCAAAAAATGCTCCGGCGGGAAGCGAACGCTCGAGCCGCAGGGAGCCGACCGCGGAAGGTTCTCACGCACGCGCTTCCGGGGGGGTGCGGGGCGGGGGGAGCTCTGCGCATGCGCGGAGGTGGCGCTCCGCAGAGCGGCTACTTCACATTGTCTGAAAATGTGCGGTAGGTTTCTACGGGAAGCATAGACCTGATAAATTACGAATTTTGAGGAGGTTGCATTTAGAAAGCTGGGAATGTGGTGGGCAATTCACCTGAACTAGGCTTCCCCAAGTAGAGATTTCTTTGGGGGTTTCTGTTAACTCATCTAAAATGATCGATTCCGAAAATCCTTTCCAGCGCCAAGATTCTTTAGAAACAAGACACCACTTAAGAACTCAATATTGGGCATATAAAGATTTTGCGTATTCTGAGTACGTGTAAGTAGGTGAACCGTATAGGTAGGTGAGCAAGGAGGAGGAATAGCAAAGTGTAAGATTATCTGCTCTCAAGAATTTATTGAATTAGCGCCAAAGCTAAAATTCAAAAATTAAGTATTTAAAATTAGAAAAGTAATCCGTGCGTGATACTAAAAAAATAATAAAGGATATTAGTGTGTGCTATTATTTCTAATTTCCTATGGCCACTTTATAATTTTAAATATACTTCATATTCCTTGTCCCCGTGATTTGGAACAGTCTATGTTCTCAACTAAAGATGATAAAACTTTTAGCTCACAAAATTTCTAATGTTATCAATTTATAAACCCCGTTAAACAAGACACGCCAGCAAATCTTGTCACATGAAGCTGCCGATAGGTCATTTCCGCCAAATGGGGCAACATTTCTGGTTCCACACGCCCTTTCAGAAGCTTGCCACTTCTGCACAGGCCTTTGTGATTTCTTATGATCAAGTCAAACGCAGGGAATATGTAAATATACATATTCGGCCTCATCTTAAGTCCATATTCTAACATTCAGCTAGGACCCAGCAGTGATTGCATGGGCGACAAATGTCCTCATTGTAGCTTCATTAACTCAGTAACTTGTTTTAAATCACTAAGTTTTAGGGTTGCTTATTAGAGAGAGAATCGTAATACTATTAGTACTTTGGAAGTAACTTGCATATCCCTGTTTACATCCTACCCCAGAAGTTAACTAGTGTTCTAAATTTATTAAGCTTTCCCTTGTTTTTTAATAGTTTTACCACATATAGAAATACTTCTCAAAATTGTATCGAATTTGCCTGTAACCGCCAGCATTCTGGGAACACCGCTAGCCTACATTCAGAAAGCAGATTTCACTTATCCATACATCCAATCCTGTATCTAAAATCATGTTATCCCTGGTTTCCTTAAGTGCTGTGATTGTCAAGTTTCTCAAAAGAATTAACTTATTAACTCTGGCCTTCTGTTTGAAGAATGGGAGGTGGTCACTTGACCTGAGTGAATCAGTATAGATTTGTAACTATTTCTTTACTATACAAATATGAGCACCTAGTTCCTGAGCCTCTTTCCTGGATGCTTCAAAGAGTACTGGCTTCTTTCTTCAATTGCCTTTTGTAGGTACTCAGATGAGAACTTGCTTGGGTCTGGCTCTGCTAAGTCACTCTCCACCTGCACATTGTTTTCTAAAAAATTATTAAACTCTTATCCTGGTATTTTCAGTCCTGTTTTATTTGTCATTGTGTGGTTACACTTTATGTCATGTTACTGAGGTTTCCGTTAAGAAAATAGTCATTCCCCAATATTTAGCTGGAATTCTTCAAACTGAATTGTAAAAAATTCTAAAATACTGCATATGGAAATGTCTGCCATGTTTTCCCCCTCCTGGAAGTACTTTAATCTTTAACTAGAGTTTTCTTAATAACAGACCAGACAGAAAAAAGGATGACCAAACACTGGACAAATATGACTCTGAATCAAATATACTGGCAGGAAACAGAAATTTGTAGTGCAGGTCATATTTTAATATAGTTTAAAAAAACACTTCCAAATAGAACTACAAATTTAATCAGGAAAAATACCTGAAGGAAACATGTAACTTAATTAACCATTAGTACATTATTTTAAAGTTATTTTTCTGAATCTTTGGCTTATTTCATTGGATTTATACAGGTATAAACCTACTGATTTTTCCATTTGAGTATTCTGTATTAAATGTAGTTTTTCCCTGCTGATAATTATAAGTAAACTTGTTGGCAAAATGTTTTAAAAGGAAAAAAAATTCCCTTAATAAGTTGGTAAAGATTGATAAATTGTTTAACTTTTGATTTACTATAAAGTAGCAAGTAGTAAAAATCCACATCCTCCCCCTCCAAATTCAGCTTCTCTTCTATTGCAAAAAATCTTTATAAAAACTGTACTGAGTGTAGTATCTCTACATTTGCTTTAAAAAAAAAAAATGCCATACCAAAATAACTCATCATGAAATCAAAGAAATATTTTAAAGTATCAGGTTTGCTAAGGAAAACATTACTGTGGAAGACATCCAAGGAGTCTAAAATGTTTTTGTAGCAATAATAAAGCTTCAGGCTGATACTTATATAGTTGTTAAAGCAGTCCTCCCCCCTTTAAAAATTCAGTGCATATTCCGGTATATATTAAAAAGTTAAATTTTAAAAAATTATCAATTTGCTTTAAAATAACTGTTTAACTCACCTTGAAAACAGATCACCTGTGATAAATCCATTATTTAACAAACAGAGTTTTTCTAATGACCTAAAAAGAAATTGGCTAAAAACCCAGGAAGGGTCAGGAACCATATAATATAGGCAGGTGAGAAAAGAGGAAGATGCTTTTTGTGGAATGGAAGAGCAACAATTTTAATGTCTATTTTGAAATACTGAAACATATTGGGTTCAATTAATCTCTACTACTTTTAAAACACAGTAGTAAACCAAAAATATTGAAACATGACTCCTTATTCTCAAAAACAATTTTTAGCTACATACATAAATAAAAAGTGCTTATAACTAATAATACAACACTAAAAAAGTCAACTCTAAGATCATGAATGGCCAATGTCTCATTGCCAGCAATGAGAGTGGTATATGGTAAAGGATGACATGATATTTACAAAAGACAAAAAATATATATATTTGATTATTTCCTATAGTGCTAATATTATCATTATACCATTGAGCATAAAATAATCTTTTTTTTTGACATGGTAATTAAAACAAACAGTTTATCTTATGGAACAGTAAAATACAAGGAAATCCCCCTTAGAGATTTCTAACGAATGTTTGAACTAGTTCATAATGAAGTTAAACATGAATAGAACACAATTCTGGGAGGGAAAAAAAAAGACTAATTTATTTTTTTATAAAATAAAATATAATGAGATCTTAGTTTAGATAGTGGAGTGATGGCTTTAGATGTCATCTTAACCAAGAATAAGTTCATAGTATTTCTTATTCACTTAAATAAGACAGGAAGGGAAATTCTAATTCCTGCCACCTGCCTAGTCACTTAGAAAATTCTTCATAAGGAAGTTAAAACACACACACACAAAACCCTTAGATTTTGGTTATTCTTTAAAGTTAAAATTTCCAGATTCCCTGGAAGTAACAAGTTCAATTTGGTGTCTTCTTGTATTCTGGGAAAGAACACTAAGTTTACACTGAGATCTCTGGTTTTCAAATGCTATGACCAATTATTTGTGAGTTATAGTCTGCAGGTTCCATTTTTAAGATATGTGGGATTACACTGTCAATTCGTACATTGCCAATGAGACCTTTGAAAAATAATTCTTCAGTGATGGTAGCATTCATCAGTCTCAAAGCTGGCAATCTGAGTAGTAGCCTAGACAACCTAAAAAGAAAAAAAGGAGGGAGAAAACAAGGCTGTAATTAAAAATAAATTTAGTAGAAAAATGAGTAATTTCTGCATGCATATTGTTTGTGGGATAATATAATGAAGACTTTATTTCTAAAAGTTAAAATGAAAACTTTAGCATTCTCAAGCCACAGAATGCGCGACAATCACCAGGATACAAAATGCAGCTGGACAGATTTTATGGGAAAGTCTTGCTCTTAACTCTTATACTGTGCTGACTCCACCTGGCTATAAGAACTATGAAACTAAGTTATTAAATAGATCAGGTGATAAATTTAAGACTCGCTTAGAATCTCAATAGAGGCTTTAAGAATAGCAATGTTTTGTGCTACTAGAACACATGAGGCACAATTCTTGGTTTTACTTTGCAAAAATCTACTGAAAATGATTTCAAGAGGCAATAGTTGTTATCACTGGGAAAAGATTATAGAATCAAGACCCTTGGGTGCAAATCTTGAGTCAGTTGTTCCCTAGCTATGTGAATGTGTATAAAAGTCACTCTCTGCCTCTCTCACATAGTTGTTGGGGAGATTAACAAAATGATCACTGACAGTTGCTGTGTAGGTACTTAAAGGTAGGATCATACCTTCTATGAAAGTATATTGTAAAACTGCTATCCAAAGGCAATTTATTAAATAACTACGATTATTAGAAACAGAATTTTTAAAAAGCTTGTGTTAATTTATACATCGTCAATTCTAAAGTCTTGCACTCTTAACACCTCAAACATGAAACCTGCAGTCCCAGGATGAAGGGACCTTCCTCATAAATCACTCAATTCCTGTCTATTCCCACCTGAACTGCATCGATGTATACGAAACTGGTATCAAACAGGGTAGGAAAACTGGTTAAAGTCGATTTCATTATGAAATTGACATATATGTCTTAATATATGTAAAGAATTAATACATGCAAAATGTTCTTATATTAGTTTGAAGAATATTAAAGTAATAATATTGGTATATATGGCCATTAGACTGCTTTAATTTTGATATTTGGTTTATTATATTTCTACCCAGGTATTCCTTATGAAGATCCTTTTCAAGGGCTTTTTTTTAAATAAGATCAACTTAACTTTTGAAGAGGGGCAGTATTACAGAGTAGTTAACTATATGTCTACCAAAGAGAATACCTGGGTTTGACTACTGACTCTGCTACATAAATAATTATATGACCATGGGCAAGTTGTTTAACTTACCTGATTCAGTTTCTTTATCTGT